CTTGGGGCACTGTGGGAGATGGAGTCCCCTTGGGGCACTGTGGGAGATGGAGTCACCTTGGGGGTCCTGCCCCTGCTGTGTGTGGGGTCACTACACCCATAGTTGGGTCCCTGCATCCACTGCCCATGGGCCTGTGGGTGCAGGGGGTTTGTGTCTCTGCGTGTGTCCCACTCTGTGTGTGTGTGTGTGCAGGTGTTTGCTGCAGCTCTGTGTGGTGTGTGGGGACCGAGCGCGCGGGTGTGTGTGTGCGCAGAGGTGCATGTGTGCATGTGCACAGGTGCGTGTGCAGGTGTGCGCTGTGGCTCTGTCTGTACCCGCATGTGACTGCACGGCTGTGCAAACCTGCACGGCTGTGCAAACCTGCCCAGCTGTACGCGTGTGCACAAGCGCATGTGAGTGCCGCTCTGTGCGTGTGCATGTCCAGTGCGTGTGCATGTCCGTGCGTGGGTGCGACCTGTGTGTACAGGTGTGTGCATGTCTGTGTGCAGGTGTGGGTGTCTCCCCTGGGGATGATGTGCGTAGGGCTGTGCCACACCGGTGCCACTGCGTTTCTGCGGTGTTGTGCCGGTGCCATGCCGTGCCATCCTGGTGCCGTCCCAGTGCCGTGCCAGTGCAGAGCTGGGTGGGGCTGTCCCGGACGGGGCTGTCCCCAGCACCAGGCACAGACTCACCACTCCCGCAGGCAGCACCGGCTGCTGCCCCGAGGGTCCGGGGATTCCTGCAGTGGAGGGGCTGGGCCCCATGGCCCCCCAAGCCCCGAGTGGTGTCGATGCCCCATCCCGCCCGGCTCCAGCACCACAGACCCCCCGGTGCCTGGTCGGGCATAGGGCGGTGGGAAGCAGCAGCGCAAGTGGGCGCAGGTGGGCGCAGGGCGAGTTTATTGCGTCCGGAGCTGGGGACCAGAGTTGAGAGACCCTGGGCTGGGCTGGGGGCACCTCGACCCTTCCCCCGCCCGCAGCCTGCCAGGCCCCCAGGGTCCCTTGGGAGCCCCTGCCCCGTGTCCTTGCCCCCAGCCCAGCCTGGGCATGGCGGCCTGGG